AAAAATTGGAACCCACCAGCAGTGTGAGGAGACCTGAAAGTGGCACATGGCAGAGTGTGGCGATGGAGACAGCAGCAATGGGAGGCCGTACAGGGACCCATGACACACTGTGGACCTGGCAGCAGCATGAGGAGGCGGTACAGGGGCCCATGGCAGATTAGGGGCCTGGCAGCAGCAATGGGAGGCCCGTAATCTGCCAGCAACCTATGACAAAAAATGGAACCCAGCAGCAGTGTGAGGAGACCTGAAAGTGGCACATGGCAGAGTGTGGCGATGGAGACAGCAGCACAATGGGAGGGAGGCCGTACAGGGACCCATGAGACACTGTGGACCTGGCAGCAGCATGAGGAGGCGGTACAGGGGCCCATGGCAGATTAGGGGCCTGGCAGCAGCAATGGGAGGCCCGTAATCTGCCAGCACCTATGACAAAAAATGGAACCCACCAGCAGTGTGTGAGGAGACCTGAAAGTGGCACATGGCAGAGTGTGGAGATGGAGACAGCAGCAATGGGAGGCGGTACAGGGACCCATGAGACACTGTGGACCTGGCAGCAGCATGAGGAAGCGGTACAGGGGCCCATGGCAGATTAGGGGCCTGGCAGCAGCAATGGGAGGCCCGTAATCTGCCAGCACCCTATGACAAAAATGGAACCCACCAGCAGTGTGAGGAGACCTGAAAGTGGCACATGGCAGAGTGTGGCGATGGAGACAGCAGCAATGGGAGGTCCGTACAGGGACCCATGAGACACTGTGGACCTGGGCAGCAGCATGAGGAGGCGGTACAGGGGCCCATGGCAGATTAGGGGCCTGGCAGCAGCAATGGGAGGCCCGTAATCTGCCAGCAACCTATGACAAAAAAATGGAACCCAGCAGCAGTGTGTGAGGAGACCTGAAAGTGGCACATGGCAGAGTGTGGCGATGGAGACAGCAGCAATGGGAGGCGGTACAGGGACCCATGAGACACTGTGGACCTGGCAGCAGCATGAGGAGGAGCGGTTACAGGGGCCCATGGCAGATTAGGGGCCTGGCAGCAGCAATGGGAGATGCCCGTAATCTGCCAGCACTCTATGACAAAATGGAACCCAGCAGCAGTGTGTGAGGAGACCTGAAAGTGGCACATGGCAGAGTGTGGCGATGGAGACAGCAGCAATGGGGGCCGTACAGGGACCCATGAGACACTGTGGACCTGGCAGCAGCATGAGGAGGCGGTACAGGGGCCCATGGCAGATTACAGGCCTGGCAGCAGCAATGGGAGGCCCGTAATCTGCCAGCAACCTATGACAAAATGGAACCCAGCAGCAGTGTGAGGAGACCTGAAAGTGGCACATGGCAGAGTGTGGCGATGGAGACAGCAGCAATGGGAGGTGGTACAGGGACTCATGAGACACTGTGGACCTGGCAGCAGCATGAGGAGGCGGTACAGGGGCCCATGGCAGATTAGGGGCCTGGCAGCAGCAATGGGAGACGCCCGTAATCTGCCAGCACCTATGACAAAATGGAACCCAGCAGCAGTGTGAGGAGACCTGAAAGTGGCACATGGCAGAGTGTGGACGATGGAGACAGCAGCAATGGGAGGCCGTACAGGGACCCATGAGACACTGTGGACCTGGCAGCAGCATGAGGAGGCGGTACAGGGGCCCATGGCAGATTAGGGGCCTGGCAGCAGCAATGGGAGGCCCGTAATCTGCCAGCAACCTATGACAAAATGGAACCCACCAGCAGTGTGAGGAGACCTGAAAGTGGCACATGGCAGAGTGTGGCGATGGAGACAGCAGCAATGGCAGGCCGTACAGGGACCCATGAGACACTCTGGACCTGGCAGCAGCATGAGGAGGCGGTACGGGGGCCCATGGCAGGTTACAGGCCTGGCAGCAGCAATGGGAGGCCCGTAATCTGCCAGCACCCTATGACAAAATGGACAACACCAGCAGTGTGAGGAGACCTGAAAGTGGCACATGGCAGAGTGTGGCGATGGAGACAGCAGCAATGGGAGGCCGTACAGGGACCCATGAGACACTCTGGACCTGGCAGCAGCATGAGGAGGAGGCGGTACAGGGGCCCATGGGCAGATTACAGGCCTGGCAGCAGCAATGGGAGGCCCGTAATCTGCCAGCACCCTATGACAAAATGGAACCCAGCAGCAGTGTGAGGAGACCTGAAAGTGGCACATGGCAGGGGCATGATTCATGGCGGATTTTCAGTCAGTTGTGTCAGGAACTGGTGGTTTGAAATCCAGACTAATCCTTGCCTGATTCATTTTCACAAACGTGAGTCTCTCCACACTTTGGGTGGACAGTCGTGTCCTCCGCGGAGTTACAATACCTCCTGCCGCACTAAACACGCGCTCCGATGCCACGCTACTGGCCGGGCATGACAGCCTTTCAAGGGCAAATTCAGCTAGTTGGGGCCAAAGGTCAAGTTTCGTTGCCCAGTAGTCAAGGGGATTGTCTACCTCGTTGGCAGGGTGCTGTCCAAGTAGGCCCAAGCCTGTTGTTTGAGGTCCTGCTCCAGGTCCACCTGATGCTGCTGCTGCTGCTGCAGCTGGTTAGTAGTTTCCTCACTGCGCTGGTGAAGAAAGCTACTCATCATCGACTGCAGACTGAGGCAGCCGCTGCTGGTGGAGCTGCCACTGCTCCTACCACCCCACCCCTCCCCTGCTGCCATGGCAGCGGAACGCGAGCGCACAGGGCCCACAGTGTCTGAGGATGGACGTTGGCGCAGAAAGGCAGAGACCAACTGACTACATAGGTGGTTTTTTTATAGTACGTTATTTTGGCCTCCCTCTCAGCAGGTGTGAAAAAGGCCACCATTTTTGAACGGTAGCGAGGGTCCAACAAGGTGGACAGCCAAAAGTCATCCCTCTGTCTGATGGTTATTATTCGGCTGTCGCTCGCTACGCAAGCAACCGAGCATGCTATGGGCCATTTGTGCCAAGGAATGCGAGGGACTCCCTGCCTCCATCTCCACAGCATACTGCCACGGTGCGTCTGGGTCCTCTCTCCTCCTCCTCCTCCTCCTCTACCAGATGCTCCTGCTCCTCCACTCCTGTCCGCTGAGTGGAAAAACCACCCATTTCACTCAATAATTCCTGAGCACCAATGTCCTCCTCTACCTCCTCCTCTTCTTCCTGTCCTGCCCCCACAGGGGTCATGTGGCGTTGAGATCTGTGCGCCACGTCTACCGCACCCTGACCAGCCATTGTTAACAGCATTTGTTCCAGGACGTGCAACAGAGGAATGACGTCGTTCATCCCATAGTCCTGCCGACTCACGAATAGCGTGGCCTCCTCAAAGGGCCTGAGCAAGCGGCAGGTGTCACGCATGAGCTGCCAATGGCTGACATCGAAGTTACACAGGGGAGTACCTTTATCCGCTTGTAACATCAGGAAATCGGTGATGGCCTTTCGCTGTTCGTAAAGGCGGTCTAACATGTGTAGGGTTGAATTCCACCTTGTTGCAACGTCGCAGATCAGGCGATGCTGTGGAATTCCGTTCTGCCGCTGCAGCTCAAGGAGGGTGTGCTTTGCGGTGTAGGAATGGCTGAAATGCATGCAAAGTTTACGTGACATTTTAAGGATGTCTTGCAGTGGGATGGTGGATTTTAGGAACCGCTTGACAACCAGATTGAACACGTGAGCCATGCATGGCGCATGGCACAACCTTCCTTGACGCAGAGCAGACACCATGTTCTTTCCGTTGTCGGTCAACATGGTTCCGATTTTCAGTTTGCGCGGAGACAGCCATCTGTCGATTTCTCTGTTCATTACACTCAGAAGTTCCTCCCCTGTGTGACTACGTTCGCCAAGGCATACCAGGTGCAGCACAGCGTGACACCGTTGCGCCCTGCACATGTGATATGCCGGTCGGGTAATGGGACTTGGCACGGGGTGGCGGCTGAGGACACGGCGGAAGAAGAGGTGGTAGAGGCGGACATGTTTGCTGGACCAAGGACGTGCAAACGTGGAGGCAAAAGCGTCGTGACCTGTCCAAGTTGCTGGTGCGGCTGTGCCGGCACCACGTTCACCCAGTGGGCCGTAAATGACATGTACTGTCCCTGACCGTAGTTACAGCTCCACACGTCGGCGCTGCCGTGCACTTTGGCAGAGACCGACATGCTCAAAGACTGGCCCACCATCTCTTCTACATGTGAATGCAGGGCTGGCACTGCCTTTTTGGCAAAGAAATGACGGCTTGGCACTCTCCACCGCGGCGCGGCACAAGCCATCATTTTCTCGGAAAGGTGCTGAGTCCACCACTTGGAAAGGGAGGGACTGCAGCACCAGCAACTTGGACAGGAGGACGTTCAGCTTTTGCACCGTCGGGTGCGTGCTCGCAAACTGTTGTCTCTTGGAAACGGATTCCAAGAAAGACTGCTGACGGAATCCGTGAAGAGGAGTAGCAGGAGAAGGAGCATCTGAACGAGTGGAAGATGCCAACGAGCGACAACTCCCCTCAGCAGAGGTGTTGGAGCCTTGACTGGCTGATAGAGGGCGATTGACGTCGGGTGACGGAGCAAGTAACGGAGCGGGTGATGGAGCGGGGGGCTGGGGCAGGCAGAACCGCCGTATCTTTATCACGGTTTTCCCAGGCCACCAAATGGCGACGCTGCATATGCTGACGCAACGCTGTAGTCCCAACATGGGCCCCCTGGCCACGCTTGACTTTCTGGCCACATAGTCGACATACGGCTACGTTTACTTCCTCGGGCGGCTTGACGAAAAATTGCCACACCGCCGAGTAGGAAACTTTGCCCCCCCGCTACTCCTCACTGGCTGACTGCTACTTCCTCCGTGCACACCGGCACCACTACTGGCCATGGTGGTAGGCTGCAGTGGAGCTGGTGCTCTACTCCGTGGCCGTTTGCCTCCACTGACACTGCTGCGACCCTGCTGCCTCCTGGGCAACCCACCGACTGACTGTTTTGCTCGCTGCCAAGCTGGCACCCTCTTCTCCTGATGATGCGGAAGCAATAGCCTGATGACGACGAGGCTGCCAAGTGCGATCAGCCCTCCTCATCATCAATTAGGGTCTCCGCCTCACTACTAGCCCCCTCGGCTGCGTGTGGGTCAGGAGACAGACCTGTCTCTAGACCGGCTACCGAGCCACTCTCCTCGCCAGTACTTCTTCACCTGGCTGCTGAAGAGGCGGATGTCTCCCCCCGTTCCTGACCGCCCTCTGTTAGCTCTTCCTCACTGTACAGTGGGGCTGAGCCCACAGCATGCGATACTTCGCTTGGTGAGGGAACACCAAAGGACAGGGGCAGGTAGAGGACACGTGATTTCAGTGGGCTTGCTCCCGGGCCATGCCAACTAACGGTTGTGTCTGACGTACCCACCGACCGTTGGCTGTAGGTGTCAGAGGTGACCTGGGAAGAGGAAGACGACCGAGCCAACCAATCGATGACGGCAGGGTTGTCGGTGGAGACACGACCGCTGGATGACACCGGGAGCACTGGCCTCTTGCTGCGACTAGTGCTGCCTCGACCCCTTCCTCTGCTGCCACGTCTGCTCGCTCCTAAAACATTGCCTCCTCTGCCACTCCTCTGCGTGTTGTCTGACATACTCTTTAATTCAACGATTCTGTGTCCCTGAGTAACAATTCTGTGTCCCTCAGTAACAATTCTGTGTGTCCCTGAGTAACAATTCTGTGTCCCTCAGTAACAATTCTGTGTCCCTGAGTAACAATTCTGTGTCCCCTGAGTAACAATTCTGTGTCCCTGAGTAACAATTCTGTGTCCCTCAGTAACAATTCTGTGTCCCTCAGTAACAATTCTGTGTCCCTCAGTAACAATTCTGTGTGTCCCTGAGTAACAATTCTGTGTCCCTCAGTAACAATTCTGTGTCCCTCAGTAACAATTCTGTGTCCCTCAGTAACAATTCTGTGTCTGTCCCTGAGTAACAATTCTGTGTCTGTCCCTGAGTAACAATTCTGTGTCCCTCAGTAACAATTCTGTGTCCCTCAGTAACAATTCTGTGTCCCTCAGTAACAATTCTGTGTCTGTCCCTGAGTAACAATTCTGTGTCCCTGAGTAACAATTCTGTGTCCCTCAGTAACAATTCTGTGTCCCTCAGTAACAATTTCTGTGTCCCTGAGTAACAATTCTGTGTCCCTGAGTAACAATTCTGTGTCCCCTGAGTAACAATTCTGTGTCCCTCAGTAACAATTCTGTGTCCCTCAGTAACAATTCTGTGTCTGTCCCTCAGTAACAATTCTGTGTCTGTCCCTGAGTAACAATTCTGTGTCCCTCAGTAACAATTCTGTGTCCCTCAGTAACATTCTGTGTCCTGTAACAATTCTGTGTCTGTCCCTCAGTAACAATTCTGTGTCCCAATGAGTAACAATTCTGTGTCCCTGAGTAACAATTCTGTGTCCCTCAGTAACAATTCTGTGTCCCTCTGAGTAACAATTCTGTGTCCCTGAGTAACAATTCTGTGTGTCAATTGTCCCTCAGTAACAATTCTGTGTCCCTCAGTAACAATTCTGTGTCCCTCAGTAACAATTCTGTGTCTGTCCCTGAGTAAAATTCAATTCTGTGTCTGTCCCTGAGTAACAATTCTGTGTCCCTCAGTAACAATTCTCTGAGTAACAATTCTGTCCCTCAGTAACAATTCTGTGTCTGTCC